GTCCATAGCATGCTTGATAAATTTCCAGAGTCAGACACTTGATTTGGCATCGTGGTCGACATCGTCAGTGAGTCTTGCCATTCTCAGCACCAAACCACAACCCGTTAAAGAGAGGAAGGCAAGAGTGGGGTAAGAGCGTGAAGGAAAGATAGATGACCAAGGACAGAAAAAGCAATGATAGCACAACCGTATCGGCAGAAAAGTAGTCGAGGGATGACTTCATTTATCTCTTTGACGAGTTGTAATTCGGTGCTGATAATGACAGGATTCACTGACGATGCCGGCGAGACGTCTGGGAATGTACCAAGTCCACGGCCCGACTCTGGAAATTATCATGGATACTATGGATTCAGGAGAAGGTGCGTTCCTCTAGGTCTTCCTGCTAATATGACTAAGTTGCCTAAGTGTTGGCTCGACCTCGGTTTCGTCTGAGCATCAGGGAGACCTTGTGGAACGTATCTAGTCCTTTGCCATAGTATTCGAAATTTCCAGCATCGGACCATTGACTTGATGTATTCCGAAACCTTACGCCGGCATCGTCAGTGAGAGGCGCCATCGTTAGCACAGAGTTGTAACTTATCAAATTGATAATAGAAGGTAATCCCCTTGACTTATTTTCTGTTAAACCACTATGAAATCACTCCTGTCTTTATTTATTGTCCTAGCCTTTAATACTATAGCTCTTAATATAAACCCCGCATCATATGGTCCAGTTACGTATTACACCATTCTATGCTCTCGTTTTCCTTTATGTCGCCTAAGAGTGTCGCTCGCAGTGGATATAGTGAAGTGTAAGCATCTTCACCATCAGTTTCAGGAGCCGTTGGCAAGGGTTCTGGCCTTCATAGCTGAACACATGAGCACAAAATGTTTTATGATTGGAGTGGAAAGGAAACTTCAGAAAGGCATACAAAAATTGTATCTCTTGCTACGTATTGAAATCATATTAAGGCCAATATTGCCCATAACTCCTGATTCTGAGGGCTCTATTAAGCCGCAAACAATAGCTAATAATTGAAGATATGAAGACCAAGATGATGTGGTCCTCGGTATGATCGCAGTCTCCTTTCGATTAATAAAAGTGGGTTGATCTCGTTTTTCGCAACTAAGTCAGCCTGACAATAAGACCAAGTTGCGAAAACTAGGTCAATCCATTTTTTATAATTAAAAAGCTGTATAAAAAGTGAACATAATAGAAAACATGAGGAATTGGGTGTAAGAATCAGAACAAGGAGAAATAATTAGGACACATTATAATGAAAAATTAAAAAATAATGAAGCTTAGGCTAAAAAGCAGTAGTTAGATTGTAGACATGAAAGCAAAGCTGGTGGGGCCTATGGTTTGGTCGAAGTCCTATATGGCTTTAGAGAGTAGGTTTGACTTCATTTTCGCAACTTGGTGGACGCGACTGGGAGACAATGTGGAACGAATCTAGACATGTGTCTTCTGCCAGAGTAATCGTGATTTTCAGCATCAGACCAAATACCATAGGCCGGATTCGTTAGCACAGAAATAGAACTTAGTAGTGATAAGTGAAGGCCAATTGATCAATTTTCTATTTAACCGTTGTAACATCACTCATCAAAACTATCTTTACCCTATCTTCTATTGTCATATCTATTTCATACAACCGAACTTCAAATAGCCCATCTACTAACTCACACAATTCTGTGCTCTCTTATCCTCCAATGTCTCCCAGGAGTGTGGCGCTAAAGTAATTTTCAGTGAAGCTTAATCACCTTTTGGTTCATAGTTTTTTATGAGAAAAAAGTTAGGTTTCGAGGAATCTCTTGTTTCATAATTGTTAATCTTACTTCCATTTCGAGTGAAAAGTGATGGTACAAGAGATTCGAAGGTCGGTTCCACCAGAAGACGACGGCGGATTCCTCTTGACCAGCAGTCGATTAGCTTTACTGAAAGATTCATGCTGCCGCTGTTTACTAGCTAATATCCTTCGATTCCAGTTTCATTGACTCGTTAGTTTGAATTTTGTTGTGATGATGATACCTTGCTATGACGATGTTCGTCATATGACAGACGAAAGCTTAACACCTTTTAAACGTAACCGAAGGAGATTACCTCGGAAACAGCGTCAGCATGAATCTTCCAGTAACGCCAGCTTGTCAAGAGGAATCCGCCGTCGTCTTCTGGTGGAACCGACCTTCGAATCTCTTCAACCAACACTT